CGAAACGAATTTTTTTCCCCCGACTTCTCCGACGACTGCAATTACAAACGTCGCTTCGTCGAATCGACGACTCTCCGCTGCACGGATATCCACGCTTCATTTCCGGCTTTAATCGGAGGCTTGAGTGCATACCGGGTTGCAAAAACTCCTCGTAGCCCGATCTCGAGCTCATTAGACACTGCGAGTTGTTAAACTAACGAGAATTGTGCTCTGCGTTCGCTGCAGTCGTTAAACATTTTTAGGAAATCCCAGTTTTGGAAATTTCTCTACAAGAGGTAGCCCATTTCGAATCAATTCTCAGGTCTCTCTGATTCTAAATTTGATATTATATTTGAATTTGTAAGTGGAATTTATATCCGAATTTGCAGTTTTAATTTATATCTTAATTTGCAATTCGAAATTATATCTCAATTCGCAGTTTGAATGTATATCTTAATATGCAATTCGAAATTATATCTCAATATGCAATTTGAAATTATATGTATTTGAATTTATAATTGGAATTTATATCTGAATTTATATTCGAATTTGCAGTTTCAATTTATATCTGAATTTATAATTTCTACTTACATCTGAATTCGATATTTAATTTTATGTCTAGATTTGTAATTTCAACTTACATCTGAATTCGAATTTTGTATTTACATCTGAATTTGCAGAATTAATTTCGTCTAATTGTTACCAACCGATAAATTCCAAGTCAATTGTTTCATTGTGGAAATACTTACAGTTTCGATTAACCTGAAAGCTACGAGTGCGAACTTCGCAGTTTTATCGCCGCGTTGCGAGAAACGACTCGAAACAGGATAAAACAGGGTGCACTCGGGGTGCGTTCGTGGTTCACGGAGTATAATGGCGCAGAAAATTTTGCTTTTACTCTTTGCAACGGGGCAATGAATGCGCGAATTTATATCGTCGCGTCGCGTAACGTGCAATTTGCCATCAACTGCCCTAAAATTGCCTGTAAACGACACTCGTTACCCGCAACGAGGCAACGATCTCTCAGCGCGCAGCTGGAAAAACGATAGTACACTTGTCACGCAATCTGTCCAATAAGACTGGCTGCTGTGCAAGTCGATGAATCGCTTGAAATTACTATACGATCAATTCTCGCTCGTCAGCGTTGCACATTAAATCAAGAAATAATAGCATCCTGGAAATTATGCAGAAATGGACCAAGCTTCCGTTCCAATCCTGCAGCATAATTATTAGAATTTACGGATGAAAATTACGGATAAAGTTACGGCTCATTATGCAAAATAATATGTTTGCATGTCAACAGTAAAAAACAGATAAAAAAGTGTTTCTTTATTTAATAATGCTAATACACCAAAAATAATATGACAGCACTCTAATATTCTTTTAGTTTTCACTGGTTTGTATTTCACCCACACATTTTTGCTATATGCATTAAATAAAATTTAATTAAAATGCATTATAAATAAACTGCATTAAATCTACAATTTAATAGTTATTATTATTTATTACATGCGGGTAATAAAATCGTTAGCCTTGACAAAAGTACAAATTTGATTGAATAAACATAGTAGAGAGAAAAGGAAAGAAAGAGAAAGAAGAAAAATATTTATAATTATATTATGATACGTAATATTAATATATTATCCATATAACGTAAATATGTACTATGTAATAATATATCAATATATTATGTATCAATATAATATTATATACATAAATTATAGACAAGAGTAGCAAATTCCTATTCCTATTATGTTACGTGATATTAATATATTATCCACATAATATAAATATGTACTATGTAATAATATATCAATATTCTATGTATCAATATAATTATATACACATAAATTATAGACAGCAAAAGCAAATTTCTGTTCTCATAAATTCTTCTACTAAGAACAGGAAACTTCCTTCGGATGAGATAAAATCGAGATGCCATTAATCGAGTTAATGTTTCCCCGCATTTCGACGTTCTGCAGACGTCGGAACAGCATAAAGCTCCGGCGCCTTAACGATTATATTGAATGAAACGATCGGTTATGATCGGCGGAGGTCCTATGAAATTATGAACCTCTCAAAAGCAATCGTGGGTGTCTCGTTCGCATTCGGGGAGCGTCGCGACGCTTATGATCCGGTAGCCGGTGTACGTGCGACTGCATCGATCAGCGTTCGATCGTTTCGGAAGCCCCGGAAGGGGGCCCCGTTGCCAATTAATCAACGAAAGGGTCGTGCGAGACACGTGGACGACATAAGTTCCAGGAGCCGCGAGCGGATCACGTGGAATTAATGTGTACCAAGGCCCGGAGAGTGCGCGGAGGATCCGTGGATCACGTAACGCCGTAAATTTTACGATCTGTCCCCCAGGTTTCGGCTGGCTCGATCGGCCGTAGATCGGAAAGCGACGATCGTTCCACGGAATACTAAAGGTACCGGGTTTCCGGGGACGTTCCCTTGAGAAGCTCCTTGTCGTCGCCGTTCGCACACGTACAATCGCAGGGCCGGCGATTATCTGCGAGCCGATCAAAGATCACCGGATATCCTCCAGGGCCGCGATTTCTTAAGTCGAATGTCAAAAACAGGCCTAGCCGGACACTTTGCTCGTCCATTTGCCGACGATTCCGTGGTTCTTAGAAAGAAGTTTCGTAGGTCCACGATCGATGGCTAAACTTTGTATATTGGCCCTTTGCAGTCGAGCGGCGACTCTAAAGCGCCGTTAAAAATTGTTACATCACGTTCCGAAATAATTTTAATTCATCTTTTGATTTTTAATTCAATTTCATATGTACAAAATGCAACAGGTTATATAAAAAGGGAGTACTATAGGTCGGAAAAACTATTTTGGACCTTTCGAGTTAAAATTGCTCCGACTGCAAAGAGTTAATATCTATTTTATCTGTGCGATGCGAACTTTATGCGATTACATTTCTTTCTTTCCTCGAAAACTCTGCCCTATAGCATAACTGAACAGATGCTTTTTGATGTCAATCAAATTTGCTCAAATTTGATCGTAGATTTTTCATTAAACGAACCATGTTTTATTACTTTCTTCACTGCAATTTGTTGTTATATAACTAATCAGCAACATTGTTTCGAACAAATTCTTGAACAAACGTTTTTTACAAGAATTTAGGAAGAACTTCAGAAGGAAGTTATTATTCTTTCTTTATTTTCCTGTAAATTGACAAAATAATTGCTCAGCAATAACATGACAACAAATTGCAAGAATAAAATTCACAAGAAATCTTTCAATTAATAAAAAAGTTAAGATTATTCCATGAATTGATAGATCTTCGACATGTTCTTTATAAAAGTATCGAAATTGGATCAGTTTAGGAATGAATAATCATCTCCTAAAATTCTCTAAATCGCGATAACAAGCATTTGCCCTAAGCGATCATTCTTCATAAATATTTTCTGAACGATTCACAACATTCCATAAATATTACAGGAATTTCCAGGGAAATGAGAATTAGAAAGGCGACGAAGTACGTCGAAATCCCATCGAAATTCCCTCGAACACGGTGTCGCGAAGTCGTCGAGTTACCAATTCGAGCAATTTCCATGCTATTCGAGGATTCTCGCGGGCTCCGGGCGCACTCTCTCGATCCCGTTGCCACCAAAAATCGTTGGACCGAATTCGATTCGACGTGTCCGGATTTTGGCGGTTCGTCTCGTCGCATCGAGTCGAGTCGAGTCGAGTCGAGTCGAATCGCTCTCGGTCGGCTCGAATTCGTAACGAGGCTTTTGTACGTGATTCGGACGCGGGCGATGCGGGCGTACAAAGCGGAATCGGGCTCGTGGGAATGCGAGGGCAGTTGTTGCATTCGTTCGAGTGCCCGGCATAATTACCGTCCCGATTGATCGACAAGGAGGAAAGAATGGACCGCGGATTCCTCACGAAAATTGCTCCGGAGAGCCGCGTGAGAATCAACCGTGGACTTTTTCATCTCCCATTCGTCGATTCTCGGATGATTTCAATCAATCGATGTGTCGTTTCGATCAGCCAAGCAGCCTCGATTCGTTGTAAGTGTGATAGTGACGCGGTGGAAATTATGTCTCTGCTGTTCGAGTTTCTTAATCCTCGGAAAATCAATGGCTATATAATGCGTCTTTAAGATCTTAATAAATTCCATTAAGAACATCCATTGGACACCAAACTATTCTAAATCGAGAGAATCATGTAACATTATACGATGAGAAAAATAGACGACTCATTCTTATACCATTGAATTAAAGGGCATATCAATTACAAAAAAATAAATGCTACATAGAATCGAATGCACGACAATGTAGCTTATCGATTTCAATGTTATAGCATTCGTATAATTTTGCATCGCAATGAAAATGGATGCTGTAACATCTGTTGTTAACATTGTAAGCAGTTTGACTTTTTCCTATCCAGCGTGTTTTGCGCGTCAGTTGCATCGTCTTCTCGACTTCCGCTATTGATTTGCAACCTTTTCGTGCATTTTCCAAAGGGATTCTTCTTCCCGCAGATAAATGAATAAATAAATCAAACTTTACCTGGATCCTTCTCGACCCAACAGTTATAAGTTCGATACCATTGTTTACATTGTTCGCAGATTAAACTAAAGGCTGCATTATGTTCCGTCGTCGCTTTGCGTTCGACTGTACTTTATAACAATCCCATCCTAACAGTCTCTTGCGCGAGGCTATGAGTCTCGCTAAGACTTTCAAACAATTAAGTATCCGCCGACCGAGGTAATCTGCCATTTGAGGAGAACCTTTCGCCCCGTCTTCAACTTCCGGAACACTGTTCCAAAGATTACACAGATTCGCCCGGCGAGACACGGAGAGGCGTGGCTAGAAGAATAATCAATTAATTAAACCCGACTCAGACATCGGCTCCCTCGAAATGGCAGACTACAATTTACCTTGTCAACGCGACACGACACTCGACGGTGGCAACAACGAATTCATTTTCTCCTTGTCAAAGCAAGCCGAACCCGTGTCACGTTTCTAATGCGTCCTGTTACGAGATTGCTCTAATTACTCACCCTTGCTGGAGGAACTGCGATGTCTCCTGCGTCTGTTTCTGCTACAGGATCTTCCTGCCCTGTCCTCGACACCGTCGACGGTGTCCACGGGTGCTGGCGGCGCCATTGTATCCGGTTCCACCATGGCAGCGGCGTCGTGTGCTTGTCTCCTGGCGACGTTGTCTTTCGCACCGGCACCTCGGTCTTTGCCGAGGAAGGTGCCTATCGAGTGTCTTCTTCGACCTGCTGCTGCCGAGCCTGGCGCTGGCAAGGTCGACGAGAGGTTGTAGTACCTGAAATGCATCGATTCTTTTAGTATTCAGCGATTACTGGATAATTTGTTTTAAGCCGAATCCGGTGGACATCGATTTTTATTTGGTTTTTTTACTGACCTAGCATCGTCGACACCGATGAACACCTCGCTGGAGTCTGGATCATCGTCGTCGTCGTCGTCGTCGTTATGTCGATGATTGTCTCTAGCCAGACCGCAGTACACCATGTCGTTGGAGAGCAGCTCGCTCGCCGATTTCAGGACTGCTCTGCTTCGACCTGGTCGTCTTCTGTCGTTCTCCGAGTGCGAGTGCGACCTGTTGGTTAGAACGAATGTTATTACATGGCTTGGATTGACAATCCGCTTCCATCTGACAGAGTTGGACGTATTTATTTATTCGTTTAAATTTATTCGAAATATTGCTCGAGCAAAATTTTGTTCGAAGAATTTATTCGACTTATATTATTATTTGCATATATTATATATATTAAAGTATTATTCGGATTAGATTTTATTCGAGGAATTTATTCGAAACGTTATTCGGATTAGATTTCATTCGAGAAATTTATTCGAAACGTTGTTCGAGTAAAATATTATTCGAAATATTATCTGAAGTTTAACTCCTCGCGAAAAATATGTTGACACCATTCCAAATACTATAACATTTTTAAAACTGAAAAGCCGTTTCAGAACTTGGATTTCCTTGAGACGTTAAACTGGCTAGTATACTAAACAATGAGACCAGTAATTTTTGCAATAATTTTTTACTGATCGTCTAGTAAATTAGCCAGTCTACCATCTCGAAAAATATCAATGTCGTTGAATGCTATTTCAAAAAAGTTGGTACTTTTGTAATGGTGTCAACGTACTTTCTGCGACGATTGTACTGTTATTCTTGGATTTCGATGACATAACAATCGAATGTTCTTTCGGTTTAGAAAAAACATATAACTAGACTGCGGATTTTATACATTTGTACCAAAAATGAACAGGTGAAATACAAAACCGTGCGAAATAACCAAAGACAAATTCAAGAACATTGTTTCACTTATTTTCGACCTATCCCTGTTAGTGAATAACGAAATATATATATATATATATATATAGATATATATATATATATATAGATATATATATATATATATAGATATATATATATATATATAGATATATATATATATATATAGATATATATATATATATATAGATATATATATATATATATAGATATATATATATATATATAGATATATATATATATATATAGATATATATATATATATATAGATATATATATATATATATAGATATATATATATATATATAGATATATATATATATATATAGATATATATATATATATATAGATATATATATATATATATAGATATATATATATATATATAGATATATATATATATATATAGATATATATATATATATATAGATATATATATATATATATAGATATATATATATATATATAGATATATATATATATATATAGATATATATATATATATATAGATATATATATATATATATAGATATATATATATATATATAGATATATATATATATATATAGATATATATATATATATATAGATATATATATATATATATAGATATATATATATATATATAGATATATATATATATATATAGATATATATATATATATATAGATATATATATATATATATAGATATATATATATATATATAGATATATATATATATATATAGATATATATATATATATATAGATATATATATATATATATAGATATATATATATATATATAGATATATATATATATATATAGATATATATATATATATATAGATATATATATATATATATAGATATATATATATATATATAGATATATATATATATATATAGATATATATATATATATATAGATATATATATATATATATAGATATATATATATATATATAGATATATATATATATATATAGATATATATATATATATATAGATATATATATATATATATAGATATATATATATATATATAGATATATATATATATATATAGATATATATATATATATATAGATATATATATATATATATAGATATATATATATATATATAGATATATATATATATATATAGATATATATATATATATATAGATATATATATATATATATAGATATATATATATATATATAGATATATATATATATATATAGATATATATATATATATATAGATATATATATATATATATAGATATATATATATATATATAGATATATATATATATATATAGATATATATATATATATATAGATATATATATATATATATAGATATATATATATATATATAGATATATATATATATATATAGATATATATATATATATATAGATATATATATATATATATAGATATATATATATATATATAGATATATATATATATATATAGATATATATATATATATATAGATATATATATATATATATAGATATATATATATATATATAGATATATATATATATATATAGATATATATATATATATATAGATATATATATATATATATAGATATATATATATATATATAGATATATATATATATATATAGATATATATATATATATATAGATATATATATATATATATAGATATATATATATATATATAGATATATATATATATATATAGATATATATATATATATATAGATATATATATATATATATAGATATATATATATATATATAGATATATATATATATATATAGATATATATATATATATATAGATATATATATATATATATAGATATATATATATATATATAGATATATATATATATATATAGATATATATATATATATATAGATATATATATATATATATAGATATATATATATATATATATATATCCATCCAATTAAATTTTCTTACAAGCGAGTTAAAAATTGTTCATTTTACTTAAAAATCCGCGGTCCACGCACAACATCCATATTTAGTGGATTATCTAATGAGATCTCCATCGCGAGTCCGACTGTTTGTTAAGTGCCAAGGTGTTGAACATCAAAAAAGCGTTTCAAATCATGTAGCAGCAAACCATGAAGCTGCTGAATATTTATCAATCGCGATGAGGCCGACCACCTGCAGAACGATCGAGTTAACGCCGAAAAAAAAGAGTACTATAATAATACAGACCTGTGAGGTAGATACGGCGAAGGTGGCGCGACGTCCGACGGTCTAGGGTCGCCTTTCAGGAACTGCTGGGTCCTCTCGTTATCCGCATTGGCGCTGACCGACCTGAACAGGTTTCTGAAGCTCCTCCTCTGGCTGGCCCCGCCGTGGCTTCCGTTTCCATGGCCAGTCCCGTTTCTCGACAGCATCGGGACCCGTTCCTCGGTGGGCGTCGACGGCGTGGACGCGCCAGAGGCGCTGCTCCTGTTGCTCTCCTGATGCATCAGGGTGGTGCTGGCCGTGGACGTCGAAACGATGCTCGCGGAGGACGTGGCGCCCATCTTACAGGCCCGTCGACGGAACAAGGCCGTCAGACCTGTGGGCCCCTTAGCTGGCGGCGAGAACGCCACGCTCGTTGTCGACGTCGCCGGCGTCGCGGTGCTCGACGACGCAGCCCCGCTCGACAACGAGAAGTACGAGGGGTTGTCTGTGAACATACGGGCCCGAAGTCATAGAGTCTGGCCAACGCGATCACCCGAGGACGCTTCCGGTTTGGTCTAGCGCGACGCTGCCACCGCGATCATCGATCTCCTGTGTTATCAGCAAGATTCGAATCGCGACGAACGCTGTGTCAATCTTTTCAAGGTCGAGAAGAAGTCATCGGAGCTGTGACAGAGAATTCTGTACTGTCTCTAGAGGTCTTCAGGATATTCTGATTAGGGATTATTCTGAAGAGAACGCTGACGTTTCTTCCGGAGTTGCTTCTAGAGTCCACAGATCCGATCGCACACGTTGAACTATCGAGGTCTGCGAGAGCCTTAAAAACACCCTGTCGTCTCTTCAGTGACCCGAGGGATTTTTAGAATATTCTGATACTTCGAAGAAGACACTGTCGTTCCATCCAGTTCCGTTCGAAAATTGCCAGGGTCTGCACTTTGAACTCCGCGAACGCGTGCTTCGAACTCGTTCCAGGTGCTATCAAAGTCGACCGTCCGCTTTCATCTCCGAAAACTGGAGATCTCGCGTCTAGATTTGGGATAAACGATCGAAAACCCTCCTCTCGAACGCGATCAAGCCTTGCACTACACTGTGAACAGGTATAAACCGTCTTCGATCTCTCTAGAGACCCGGGTATCCCCGATGCTCCGAACGATCTTCTTTCGATCAACGATGCCTCTCGAAGATAGCGCACATTCTGCTCGCAAGAACAGCCATCGATGGACTAGCAGGGGACTAGAGATCCTTTTTCTATTGTAATTCTCGAACACTATTCGATCGACGCGAACTAACAGCCTATGTGGAAGAGCGGTCCTCTTTTCTAGGAGAATCTGTTTCTCGAAAATGGACCGGGACGATGGTTCGTTGTGGCGAACACCGTGGCGGTGGAACGTTTCGGATGGTGAAGAAAACAAAAGGTTCACTTGACTAGACGAACACGAGGTCCACCTGAGACTGCTCGGTGCGAGATACACGATGTCCATAGGACGCCATGAACGATTCGAACGGCGCTGGCTAGTGGGGGGATGGACCGGACGTTGTATTGTCCCCACCCCATAAACCAGAAGCGAGGAACGGGGCAGACGTACACGGCACCGGAAGTTCGCCAGCGTCGCTCACGATCCACGCGTTATTACTCCTCGAAGATGAATCGACCTGGCGAGAGCACCGCAGGGAGGAAACCGGGGAGGAAATGGCTGAGGAAACGGGGGGGAAGAGGGTGGAGATACGAGCCAAGTTTCCTGTGAACGAGTTTCACCGGCTTGTGAAAATATTTTTGGAAGTGGGTGACCTTTCGACCCGGTTCCACGATCGTCAGCTGTCCCAATACAGGATCTACCGCAGGATCTTCCCGTGGATCGTGGAACCCGATCGCTCTCGATCCATCGGACGCGGCAGAATTGAAGGATTTTCGACGAAAATCGGGACACGGTACAGCGGCAAGAATAATTATAGCGATGTTTAAGCAAAGACTTAACGAAATATCATATTTGTGTATTTCTTTATTGGAAATAATAGATAATAGAAATATACAAATGTGGCGTTTTATCGGGTTTTCGTTTTGATATCGGTAACAATGTAAATTTTACGTAAAAGTAACATGGTATTAATGATTAAAGCTTTACAAACTTTTTAAGATTACTAGCAAATCTTCGTTCGTAATAAATTTCTTGAAAAAAATATAAATAATATGCTGTGTAGAAGAAGAGAATTATAATATTTATATAAAGAGAATTCTAATATATTATAAGTTACAATATTATAAATTATATTGTACACTATATTGTAAAATTATAAGTTATAATATATTATAAAGAAAATAATAATATATTACCTTCTTGACGCATAACGAGCAAAACTACAGTTTCAATAAAAAGTTATGAATCACGTTTTTGTTCAAATTTTCCATGTTTAAAGTATAACAAATGCTGCTCAATGCTCGTCAATAAATAGTAATGTATCTTTGCCAAATAATTCTCCAGTAATTAGATTGTGAAGTATTTTCAATAGTCACTAATCCTCTATCAATCTTTTAGGTAATTTATATTTGCATTTATACAGTTTGCTGACCGATTAATAGTGCACCAAACAATAAATTCCAAATCGAACACCTATCTTCCGATGTTTTCCGAACACTAAACCCTTGCGAGCCAAATCCGTGACAAAGATTTCATACACGGTACTGCTAAATACGAATGTTATTCCTTTTTTTCTAAATCGAAACAAAATGCGAGTCGTCTTTTAAGACAATACGGGAAAAAAGATTGTCTCGCAGTATCAAGAAAATTATTGACGACGAAGAAACGCTAATCAACAATTGCGAAAGCAATCGTCTCGCAAGGGGTTAAACCGAATCGCGAGCAGCGCGCGAGGTAAGAGTCAAGTTTCAAAGACGAATTGAACAGACAAATGTTTGGAGAAGACGGGCACCGGTTCAAACGTAACAGACCGCGGAGGAATCCGTGAAATTTGCGTGGTCGACAGGTATTACGTGATCGGAGTGTGAGAATCGAAAGGAGAACGGTTCCCAAGTACGTTCGTCGCGTACGAATTCGTGTCTCGATTCACCGATCGGTGATCGAGATCTCTCGTCAGATTCCACCTGTTTTCCCTGCATTCCACGCACGTGTTCGAAAACTTAAGAAGCTCCTCCGAAAGGAGCTTAACACTTCCAAGCTGAGAGATCGAGGGAGAGAATCTTCGACGACACAGTCACTTTTCCTACCATCGGAGCGCGAACAAGGGGCAACAAGTTTCGAATTTCGTGCGGGAATCGGAAGCCAAAGAAGCCGCCGCCTTTCTCCTGGATCCTCGAGGATCCATTGGAGCTTGCGGAAGTCGAAAAAAGACTTCAAAGAGGCAGCCGCCGCGAGCTGAAATTTTCCACCCCTTCCTGGAACCCCATGGTCGAGATGGGAAATCGGAATACATACTTCGAGGGGCGATGAGGGTTGCGTTTGGAAAATTGGAGTATGCTATTATTTCTCTAGGGAATCGACACGGTTTAACTTACATTTTTCGCTGCGATTGCGATGCATAATTCAACGCTACTCGATGGGATTCGCTTGGCAAGTGTCGAATATCGACGCTAAAGATCGATGCGTCCTAGTAAAATTCAACTGGTTCGAATATATTTTAATGAATGATGAATTTTGATAACTGGACAGAAATTAGTGTCACTCGCGCGTGAACGATGAGACACGCGACGTAATTTCGGCAGAACGAGAAGGGGCAGAACAAAAAGTTTTCGACAGCGTACGATACTCGAGCCGATGAAACGGAGAAAACGAGAAACGCAGCGGCAGGGCATAGTACACGGTAGCCACGATACGTGGTCGCGTGATCATGCGTGAAACGCGTGACCCGGGTGCGAAAGCGTCCTCGGGATGGCTTGGTGCCGATTGCTCCAAGAACGGGTAAAAGCTTACCGACTGCCATCCTGTCCCGTTGCACGAGAAACCGCTGCTGACACTCCGATATTCTGAAACAGCGAAAACAGCATTGAGTCACTGGTGCTTGCGGAAACACTTTTCGATTCATTGAAAAGCGCGGTTTCGTTGAATCCTTCCCGCAAAAATTAACAGCAAATTTTCCTAAAGCATGCAAAATAATTAAAGTAATAATAACCTAAAAGTTACTTGAGGATGACGAGGCTGAATTTTATAGACATTTCACTATTTTTATTATAGTGTACGATTGAATTAAGAAAATCATTCAATCGTTTCCTATGAAAGATATAATGTTGAAAAATGTGAATCCGGTCAAAACCACCGGCGCGTTAGTGTTAAATACAATCCAAGACTACGTTTTTAACATGTTAAATGTCTAACATTTAAGCAGAGTTTAAATCAATGCAAAAAATCCCACAAGATCAGAGTAATTTAATTAACCGGTTAGCTGTGCTGCAATCTCTTTGAAAAGTATGTGTGTTGCTGTTATAATGCATAGAATTAAGTTGTGATGAAATGACCGTTTTATTCTTTAATTTTATTTTACTAACATTTATTTATTTTCTTAACTTAACCAGTCAACCGTTTTCGACGAGTATACGAAAATTTTATTTGAAGAATTTATTGGAAATATATTTCTTATATGAAATTTTAATCGAAGAATTTATTCGAAATATATTTCTCGTATTAATTTTTATTCGAAGTATTTATTCGCAATACTATTTGAATAAAATTTTATTCGAAGAATTTATTCGAAATATTTCTCGAATACAACTTTTATTCGGAGAATTTATTGGCAATACTACACGAATAATATTTGATTCGAAGTATTTATTCGGATGATGCCCAACTCTGCTCCGCGTATCCAGGATAATCGAGGTCCGGCTGTACCCAGCCCGACGATACCGCGGATTCGCGCAATTAGAGCGAGCAAAAATTGCTCCGAAAAAATATTTGCAGGAGCAAAAAGAAGGAGAACAAACAGCGAATCTCCTGCGAACTTTTTCCCGCAGACATCGCAGTCAATCAACGAGGGGGATCGATCAATCTCCGTCCATGTCGGTCAATTTTCGGCGAAAATTCGCGCGATTGCTGTTCCATCCCCCGTTGACAGGGACAGAAAGAAAGCATGCGGGCGCGAATATGCGGAGAAAAAAAAGGAATGGAGCGAGAAAGGAAGCGATTTTTCATCTTGATCGCAGTTGCAACGTCTCGATCGTGTCCCCGCGCAATCACCCCATCGCGATGCTTTCAGCGTCAGTTTCATTCATCGCTGAAAATACGCACGAATATTATATTTAGCACGGATGCAGGGAGACGCGTGTCGCGCGACAGGCACGACAGGTTTATGGTGGCGGCACGGGGTGGCAAAGGGGGATGGGATCGGGCACGGGCCGTCTCATTCACGTTTTATCTACGCGATATTGGCCTGCGATCTCGGGGACTCCGTTCATCTTCAACCTTTCCTCCTCCATTCTTGAACGCGTGCCTGCGTTTCTCGTCTCGCGAATCTCGGAATCGAGCTTTCTTCCGCCCAGTCCTGGCCAACTTTTATTTCACATGGAAATCGCTGAAATTTAATTTCAGCATGGCTTGAAATTAATTGTAATTTATCTACAATTCAATCTGTAGTTTTACTGTAATTTTACTGTAATTTTATTGTAATTTTACTGTAATATAATTGCAACTTAACTGGAAACTCTTATAAATATTAGTTATTTAGCAAACTTTTAATTTAGCTTTTACATTAACACTTTAATACTGTCATAAAAGTTCAATTTTAAACAGTTATTTTGTATTTGATTGACAAAAAGGAACAGATATTTTAAAGTAAATTTTATCACATTATTCAACGAACTGGAAATAGGATGAAATTGATCCTGTTTATCCGATAAATTTAGATGGATAAGCAAGTCGTAATTTTTCAGTACTTATTTGATTGCACTGAAAGTAGAATGACAAAAGAATTAATCTTCGAAATAATATGCAACGGAAACATTTTATTTGAAGAAACCTTTACATTTATCTTTCAACAAAAATCCCTCTTCATAAAGACATAACCTTTACAGCATTTGCTTCGAGGAAAACTCGTTGTCGTGAAAGTTATTCTTCAGAAAAATGTTTCTTATTATCGGATAATCATTTAACATCGTCAGATCGGTCCTTTTGTCTTGCAGAAATGTCAAAGAGAATGTTAGTATAAAACAGAATATCATAAAACTGGTAATTGGAACGCCTCATAATTTCCAAGAAAAATTTCTCAATCATCTGAAATAATCATTTCAAATAATTATAGAATAAAAGAACATGTTCCTTAAAATATTTCAAATAACGTAATTTCAAATGTGCCCGGGTCAGTTTCCGCGAACTTATTTCGTCTCGTAACTTCCTGGGTTTTACCGTGTCGAGCATATTTTTCGTAACTTTGTGGGCTAAATTCTGCCATGTTTTTTCCCAGAATACAACGGACATTTTTCGGAGGTTTCTGGGTCTTGACGAATCGAGCATATTATTCACAACTTTTCGAGCTCACTTGTACGGAAATATTTTCCATAATTCCATGGACATTTCGAGGCGATAGAATAAATTCTTTTACACAAACTTGGATTAAAAATAAATGACAAAAAGTTTACATAAACTCGCTCTCGTCATTCTTATAGAGCATGCTGGCAACTTTTAGAGATCGATGCTGTTCCCAGCTAAGTCTTCAAGCCCCCCTTAATTTCATCTCTTAATGTTATCACCACGATGAAGCGCCGTGCTCGTAAGTATAATTATTCCCCGACATGGCATCGTATAAACTGCCCACGTGATAACGCTAAGTAAATGCGCAACTGCGGCTGCATGCGCCTCGTTTGCATCCGGCAGGAAAGGATGAAGTTGCAGTTGCATGAAAATCGCCCATTATGGCCCGGTTCCTGAATTTTCGAACAATAACGTCGGGATACTCTAAACTTGTAGCGTGACTGAACATCACTCGAAATATTCATCGCTTCGTTCGCGAATTTACGGAGTATGCACAATCCTCGTAACAATGAGATCGGTGAAACGATTCGAGTGCAACTTACTCTGGCCCGGAGAGCCACTTAAATTTCGTACGAAATTACAGTTGCCATCGAACTACCTAAAACGAGGCAATCCGTTTTTCAAGTATTTATCTCTCACTAATTTCAGCATTTTTAACCCTTTGCACTCCGAAATGGAGACATTTGTTTCAACTCACAGTATCCCCATTTGTTATGATTATTTTTATTCGATTACGTATGAAATTGAACGTGTATGCTTATTAGAAGGCTTTTTATTATTCGGCAATTTATCGAATACAGGAAAATATGATAATATGGAAATTCTTTTCAAAATAGCGTAGCAATTTTTAGCGTCGTCTCGGAGTCGCCGCTCGAGTGCAAAGGGTTAATGTAAATAAAACAGATTTCTACAAAGGATAAAATGCTTTTCCAATTAGAGAGGACTATAGCGAGGGAAAATTTCCTAGAATACTCTGCATTTCGAGGTGTTTCCTCGTCTGTCGGCGAAATCCCGGCATTAGTATTGTATTAAGGATTTCTTAGTCCTCGAACTCGGTGCATTGAAAAGAACTTAATTAGAGATTTGTTCTATCAAATTATTTTTCTATTCAACAGAGATTAGATACATTTGTAAAATTAATTAACCAGTTAGCTGTTTTGCTTTTTTTGTTAAATTTACAAGTACATCTTAGTTTTCATTAAAATGACAATTTAAACAGCAAATTGAAACTACTCGTCGTAACACAAAATATTTGCCACTTCTTCATGACGAGTATACTCGTCAAGAAACAGTTAATTGGCTAAGAATTAGATCGCCCGACGTTTTTAGCACGCGAATTTATTTTCAGGAACAAACTGGCGTTCGTGCTTTTTCGCTGCTTTGTCGAATGTAGCTACTAACACGAATTACGAATTTAGGTCAAATAAACTAAATGAACCTCTTCTTGGGTAATGAGATATGTTCTGCTTGCCAGGGGAAATCCCAGTTACCAGGGTCGTACCTATAATCATCTAGACCCTGTGCAAGTTCCACTCAACTATCTAGAATCCATCATTGTTTAGATCAAGTTTTGGAATAATTCGAAGTTTTTGAACGTTACTATTTTATCTTTCTTTTATCATTCCATCCAATTGCAACGTTCGCAACAATTTGTTTATGCATTGTCTAACAAACTAGCCAACGTCTTAAAAAATTCATATCGTTTGGTTAAATTTAAGAGAAGTTATCTCGTTTCAACAGGTGTCCACAAATGTTTATTCACGACTCCGAGATCTATAATAGCTCCGAGTGTCTATAATAGCAGCGTAACTATAGCATAATGGTGAGCATGACCCTATAATTAATTTCTAACACCTTAAAAATGTAACTTCTTGGCGCTGCAATTTCTTCCTTTAAAAACCGAGTCTACAATCTATGAAATAAACTTGAAATAAGTATCAATTTTATCTTAACAATCCTTTCTGTTCTCGTAAACATTGTTCTCCATCACAACTGAACAGATAATCGGTTTTTTACTGTATAATAATTAAATAAATAAAATAAAATATATAAATAAATATATGAAAATAAATCAATGTTAGAAACAAAAAATCACTGAAATAGATTTCTGTCACATCCGGGTGTAAACATCCGATTTCACAGGACGGTGGATCACGAAGGGAATCACTGTGAAAGACGAGGCGTAAGATCAGAGTTTGAGGCCCGTTCCTTCGAAATTTCTCGCTCGAATTCCGCTATAGAAGCTCTCGGAGGTTCTGGTTGATGCAGCAACCAGAGTTGCTACTATTTTCGTGCGGCTTCCGACGAAGACGGAGAGTCGGCGAGCGTGCCAGGAGCGGACGGAAGAGAGCGAGAGAATGAGAGAAGGAGAGACCACTCTCGGGTTATCGTTCCCATGAAAGCTCAAGCACTCTGATTTACTCCCCTGTCCAAATGGATCAGCTGATGGGACGAATCACAGCGGAACGATGCACGATGCGCGCGAGCTTCTCCACTTCGATGCAAT